GATCTGGACTGCAGGCTGGCCATTTCAGTACCCGGATCCTTCTCCTACGTAGCCATGATGTTGTGATTGCTGCAGAATGTGGTCTGGCATTATGGTGTTGAAAAATGCAGGGTCTTCCCTGAAAGAGATGACGTCTAGATGGGAGCATATGTTGTTCTAGAACCTGAACATAGTTCTCTGCATTAATGGTGCCTTTCCAGACATGCAAGCTGCCCATGCCACAAGCGCTCATGCAACCCCATACCATCAGTGATGCAGGCTTCTGAACGGAACGTTGATAACAACTTGGGCTATCCTTGTCCTCTCTGGTCCGGATGACATGGCGTCCCAGTGTTCCATAAAGAACTTCAAATCGTGACTCATCTGACCACAGAACAGTCTTCCATTTTGCCACACTCCATTTTAAATGACCCCTGGCCCAGTGCAAACATCTGAGCTTGTGGAGCTTGCTTAGAAATGGCTTCCTCTTTGCACTGTAGAGTTTCAGCTGGCAACGGCGGATGGCACGGTGGATTGTGTTCACTGACGATGCTTTCTGGAAGTATTCCTGAGCCCATTCTGTTATTTCCTTGACAGTGGCATTCCTGTTTGAGGTGCAGTGACGTTTAAGGGCCCGGAGATCACGAGCATCCAGTAGAGTTTTACGGCCTTGACCCTTACGCACAGCGATTGTTCCAGATTCTCTGAATCTTTTGATGATGTTATGCACGGTTGATGATGATGACTTAAAAGTCTTTGCTATTTTACGCTGGGTAACACCATTCTGGTATTGCTGCACTATCTTTCTGCGCAACAATGGTGGAATTGGTGATCCTCTTACCATCTTGGCTTCTGAGAGACACTGACACTCTGAGAAGCTCTTTTTATACCAATCATGTTGTCAATTGACCTAATTAGTGTTAATTGGTCTTCCAGCTGTTCGTTATATGCTCAATTTCCTTTTTCCAGCCACTTATTGCTACTTGTCCCAATTTTTTTGGGATTTGTTGACACTGTGAAATTTTGAATCAACATATTTTTCCTTTAAAATGTTACATTTACTCAGATTAAACTTTTGATCTGTCATCTATGTTATATTACGAATAAAATATTGACATTTGCCATCTCCACACCATTGCATTCAGTTTTTATTCACAATTTGTTTAGTGTCCCAACTTTTTTGGAATCCGATTTGTACATGGACTGGCAGGTTTTCTCTGTAAAACGGTTTTCCAGCAGACTACTGCTTCTACTACCCATAATGCATAGAATACCTTCAAAATAAAATACAGATAAACCAACAATGACTGTGTAGAAGTTATGACCATCTCTTTTAACATGAATCATTATAGATGAATTGCATTTTCATCACTAAACTATTACAAACTATTTTTAACTTTTTGTGTTGGGCAGTACAGTGAGGAACCACAACTTCCCCTCCTCGACCATAACCCTCAGCACTGGCTCTCCTCATGGATGTGTGCTGAGCCCCCTCCTGTTTACTCTGCTCATATATGATTGTGCACCTACCTATCCAGGCTGTCACATTGTAAAGTTTGCAGATGATACAGCGGTGGTGGGATGCATCACAAACAATGATGAGTCCAGCTACAGGCAGGAGGTGGAACACCTGGAGAACTGGTGCAAAGAGAATAACCTTCACATCAATGTGAAGAAGATGAAGGAGATGGTCATGGACTTCAGATGGAACAAACACACCTACCCCCCACCACCATAGGAGGATCCCTGGTGGCGGGGGTGGTCTCCAGCTACAAGTACTTGGGTGTGCACCTGAACAACAACCTCAGCTGGAGCAACAACACCACCAGCCTGATGAAGAAAGCTCATCAGAGACTCTACTTCCTCAGACGGCTGAGACGAGCTGGTCTGGAAGCTCAGTCCTCACCTCCTTCTACAGGTGTGCAGTGGAGAGCATCCTGTGCTCCAGCATCAACGTGTGGCATGGAGGCTGCACAGCTGCAGAAAGAAAAGCTTTGCAGAGAGTGGTGAAGGCTGCACAGAAGATGTTGGAGTCAGTCTCCCCACCATCACAGACATCTACACCTCCACATGCAGGAAGAGGACCACCTGCATCATGAAGGACCCCACCCACCCAGCACACACACTTTTTGCCCCACTCCCCTCAGGAAGGAGGTTAAGGAGCATTAAGTGTAGAACCACTAGACTGAGGAACAGCTTCTACCCTGAGGCTGTTAGACTCATGAATCTCTAACTAGAAGAATCACTGTGAAAAATCCCTATGATGACACTTGATTGTTGATATGTGCTGCTGACTATCCACACTGCTGATCTCATGCTGCTGATTTATTTCATGCTGCTGTGTTCATTTGTACTCATCTTCTCACACAGACACATGTTCATGCTGCCGTTGTTCAGCGTATTGTTTCTGTACCATTAATGTTTAGTATATTCTTACTTTAGTACATTTCTTAGTTCATATCTTAGATCTTATTACTTTATTCTTTACAATTTTTATTTTTGTTGGATGGAACTGGGACCCTGTGCACACAGTTTCGTTCCACCACATGTACCACATGTGATGCAAATGACAATAAAGAACCCAACAATTTACAGTCGGGTCATCTGGACAGTTTTTTTTGTGTGTGTGCTGAAACACGTTTCTTTGACTGATGAAGCCTTCTGGATGGAAGGTGAAATGTTTCAGCACGAAAAAAAAAAAAAAAAGAAACTGTCCAGATGACCTGACTGAAAATTGTTCGATTGTATAGCTGGATTATTGAGCATGGACCTTGTAGACAATAAAGAACCTTGACTTGATTGCTATGGTTACTGTCAGAGTGAGGGGTATTTAACCTTTACTTAACCTTTACTTAACCTTTATTTAACTTTTATTTAACTTTTATTTAACTTTTAATTAACCTTTATTTAACTTTTATTTAACTTTTAATTAACTTTTATTTAACTTTTAATTAACCTTTATTTAACTTTTCTTTAACTTTTATTTAACCTTTATTTAACTTTTATTTAACCTTTATTTAACTTTTATTTAACCTTTATTTAACTTTATTTAACTTTTATTTAACCTTTATTTAACCTTTATTTAACTTTTATTTAACTTTTATTTAACCTTTATTTAACCTTTATTTAACTTTTATTTAACCTTTATTTAACCTTTATTTAACTTTTATTTAACTTTTATTTAACCTTTATTTAACCTTTATTTAACTTTTATTTAACCTTTATTTAACCTTTATTTAACTTTTATTTAACTTTTATTTAACCTTTATTTAACCTTT